TGCAGAGAATCAGTAATAATAGGTTCAAAGAAATTAACGGAACCATCTTCAAAAAAATAAATAAATTACAAAGATGTAGGAAATAAAGTCGTTAAATTTCACGAATAAGAAGCAATTGAAGAAAAAAGTTAGAAATTCAAACCTGCATTTTATATGGTCGCATCCGCTTTTGCGCTCAATAAAATAATTGCATTGGGGGCATTTTTTCCAGCCGTTCTGGTTTGCAAGATCAGTGAATAGTTTATCATTTTTGCGACGAATTTTTCTGCTTGAAATAATGCTTAATAATCCCATGAAATCGTTAGTTCCGGCGGAAGTGGTTTCAATTGTTACGGAATAGAGATGTTATTTTAATGAGGTAGGTAAAGTTTTGAAGTAGACAGACAAAAAGAGGAAATTTTGTACCCAATTTCTACAGCCTATCTGTCAAATAAACTTAAATACAGCAATTGTCAGCCACTAATTGAGGCAATGTCATTTTCTGATGGGAAACCCTATCATATCATATCACACAATACTTTATCTTTTATTATGTATGATTATTAAAATTATGAGTGGCTGTTCACCAATAATTTTGCTAAGTTGTTTAGGTAAGTTTTACTCGGACTCGTTTTACATTGGTCACATCAATAACTCTTTATTTATGTAATTTTCACAATTTAACAACCAGTTGATTCTCCATTGTAATAATCAATCAATCAGCTCATTGGTTTAGAAGAATAGATTTAATTTTATGTCTTTAACATGTGATCTAAATAGCACCTTGGGCAACGCGGAATCATTATTCAATTTCTATTTCTTTATGTTTACACTACTTTAAATTTATTATGAATTTTATCATAAACGACTTTTTCATTTGCTTTCAATTTTTCTATTGGACACCCGTTAAACAGACTTTTTATTTTTTTGTAGAATTCTTCTCAAAAGCTACTACTTAATTTATTGTCTCTTTTCCTCCTCAAAAGTCAATCTCCAAATTTCTTTTCTTTTTTTGCAATATCAAACATCAATATCCAACTTTCTTTTCAAGTTTTTTCCCTGAAAAGTCAATCTTCAAACATCAATATCAAACATCTCTCCTACAGTTAAGGTTATCTATATGAAGTTTCTCTTGCTTCACGGCTTATAAACTTCTGCTGCTATCTCAACTTTCCTAGCATACGCAGAAAACATGTATAGATTAGTATCGGGGGAATGCTATTTTTCCCTAACAAATAAGCATTTCTCTTTACTGGCGCAAAAAAAAAAAATAAAACCATATATTCTCAAAAAAGAAAAGAAAAGAAAAGAAATTTACCATGTCTTAATTTAAAAAAGAAAATTAACATAAAAAAATCTTACTAGGTCTATGACTTTACTTACCGGTTATCTAAGAAAATTTTGGTGCACTGAAAGAAAAAGGAAATAATTTGGAGCTCTGAAGTTTAAGGTTTTCCTTGTGATCTTCTATTATAAATTTATAATCAATCAACCGTAGCTCATATAGAATCTCCCTGATTTTTCACTCTGAAGTTCCTAACTTTTTATTCTTTTGGGTGAATTATACTTCTCCTCCCAACCAACCACCCTCCCAAGATGGGCACCAAACCCTATTATTTCTGTCTGTCTTTGCACCATTCAATTTTGTTTATCAACATTTAATACCTTTTTATCGACTTCTAAGAATCGTTGGACAAATATGCCCCTATTGTTATACTCTTTCTTTGAGTTGTGTGTCTGCGCGCGCGCACTTTTGCCTCTTCCGTTCTTTTCTCATTTTTTCTTCCTTTTTTCCTTTTGGCTTCTTGATTTTTTCCATGCAACTAAATTCTGACATGTCTTTTTTTTTTTTTTTTGCATTTTTAGAATGAACTTGTTATTTGTATAATCGCATCTTGTCATTTTTTTTATGCAGTCTTTGGATTTGTTATTTTGTCACTATGAATGACTGATTAATCATGAACTATAGCATGTCAAGCTATATTTGAAGTACTTACAAGAGAATGTAATAGTCACAAATTTATGGTAATTGAATATTTGAATGGGTATGCCTTCGAAGTATGAGCAATATAAAACTAAATATAAATAGTTGAATAATTAATCAATTTTTTTTTGTAGCACAATAAGTTGTCAATCATCACCTTAGCAAATCAATTAACCTTGTTATTCTTGTTTACATAATGGTATGACTTCTTTATGTGGGCATTGAAATGATTATTATACTTTTGTTATCGAAATATGTTGCATTTTTGAAAAAAAGGGAAAAAAAAGGAAAAGCAAAAAAAAAAACCAATTGAAGGGGCACTTTTGTCCCTTAAAATTTGAAAGGGGATAAAGTGATGATAAATGAACTTGAGAGGAGGAAAGTGACACAAGGGTGTAAATTACGGGGTGAAGTGTAATTTACCATTTTTCCCCTTGCCCATCTGTTTCAAATTCTGTGATTTTTTTTTTTTTTGAAATGCAAATTCTGTGATTTACACTAGTTTCTCCAAATCCACGTCATTGGAGCTTGAGAAGAATACATCCACCTGACTCATATTCCTTCTTTTTTTTTTTTCCTCTTCCCTTCATTTCCTTTACTTTTCTAAAACTCTCTAATGATCCTGCAAATCTCTTGCAAATTTTTATGTCTTATTCCGTACATTTTAAAATTTCTGTACATTGTAAAAGGACATTTTCCATAACTATTTTAGAGCCAAAAATTTGTTTACTAATATGTAACAGATGTTTACCTTAAGAAACATCCTAAAATACACATCTGCCATTTGTATTTATGTCACTGGTCAAGCAGTAACACAAGAATTAGAAGTTGTACTTCTAGCCAAAAGATTTAGTAATTTACTAGTCTCTGCTACTCATAGTTGTTATGAAAAACAAACACAATACTAATACTAATACTTATAATAATAATAATAATAATAATAATAATAATAATATTGTGAGACCATTAAAATCCGGAAGAACACCTAATTCCAGCCTGAACGGGAAAGCCCATTTCAAGATACTATAAACTCTGAAAGAACTTCATGGGTTCAGACAAAAGACAGCTGATATCTAAAATTTTGTTTCCTACTGTATTTCCAGATTCATCTTTTAAAAAATTTACGTTTGATTCATTGTTGAAAGATCTCTTATGCACGGAAACAAATATTCAAAGCCTCGTAAGATTGCTTGTTTTTGAAAACCATTGATCAAGTTAAGGATATCACTAAGGACTGCCAAACTCTGTTTTCGGCACTTTTTCGCAATAAATTTCTATTTCCTCTTGTATAATTTGAGGGCTGCTTCGTGTATTTCTAGATTCATTTTTTTGAAAATTATTGATTATATATACTTGAAGATTTCTATTGACCAAACTTTGTATGCCTAGTAGTCCATTCTTGCTTTAAATAAGGGGTTGATTACACAAAAATGTCCAGTAGCTAGATGTCAAGCTGCTGACTCCATCTCTGACCTTAATCGATGAATTATTTGAGTGCTGGGGAAGAAAGTTGCAGAGGAGGGGAAGAAGGGAGAATAAGGATTGGGGAAAGTAGAGAGCGAAAGTATGAAAAGGAAATGAAATTCTGTTATTCTGTTCAATGCTTTCTTGGCCAATCATATGTGTACAAATAGGACAAGTAACCGACTCAATCAATTCTTGCAACTGAATCTGTTAATTCCTTCCTACGACGTCGTCCCACTAATTCCTGCCTCCAACGATGCCGTCACATTTATTCCTCCCACTATCAAACCTAATTTGGACAATCAAATGAAACGGCATCGTTACACTTTGGGAAAAAATTAGTTTCCTGACATTGCCTCCCTCTTTTAACTGTCTTGTCCTCAAGACTGGAACTGAGGAAACTGAGTCTATATGAAGTCTTGATCCTCCCACGAAGCTTCTTCTTCACTTAGCTGACACCACTTGATTAAGTATTGAATCACGGTTTGTCCATTTCTCATGATTCCCTCCTTCTCGGAATTCGCTTTGGTAGCAAGGGACATTGATCATCACTGTCAGGCTTGGGTAATGTAGCTGCAATTGGTTGCAGTGGTCCTATCTTCTTCTTGAGCAACGAAACATGGAAAACTGGGTGAATGTGTGCCCCTGTAGGTAATTTGAGGTGATAAGCAACTGGTCCAACCTTTGCTTTGATCTGAAATGGACCATAGAATCTAGCAGAGAGTTTGAGGCACCTCCTAATAGCAACTGATTGCTGCCTATAAGGCTGCAGTTTTAAGAACACCCCATCCCCAACTTCCAAAATCCTTTCAATGTGCTTTTGATCCGCGAAATATTTCATCCGTTGTTGAGATTTTGTGAGGTGGTCCTTGATGCTACTGGAAATCCTCAGCCTTTCTTGGAGAAGTTGAGATGCTGCCGGTATAATCGTATCAAGGTGAGGACCTAGAGGTAAAGGAGTAGGTTTGTAGCCATATAAGGCTTCAAAAGGCGTCATTTGTAAGCTGGAGTGATAAGAGGAGTTGTACCACCATTCTGCTAATGGCAGCCACTTGTTCCAGTTGTGGGGAAACTCCCCAGTCATGCACCTTAGGTAAGCTTCCACACATTGATTAAGCCTTTCGCTCTGCCCATCTGACTGAGGGTGATAAGCAGAGCTATAACTTAATGTTGTCCCAGCTAGCTTGAACATTTCTTGTCAGAAAGCACTAGTGAATATTCTATCCTTGTCAGTCACTATAGATTCTGGAAGTCCATGTAATCTAAAAATGTTGTCCAGGAAGAGTTGAGCCACTTGTTTGGCTGTGAAGGGGTCAGCTAAGGCAAGGAAATGACATACTTTGGACAGCCTATCAATCACCACTATCACTGTATTATATCCCTGAGATTCTGGAAGGCTCTCTATGAAGTCCATAGTTAGGTGAGTCCAAGCTAAACGAGGAATAGGTAATGGTTGTAGTAGTTCAGGGTAGGGTACATGCTCTGACTTAAATCTCTGGCATATGTCACAAGCTTGAATATACCCGATGACATCCTGCTTCATGTTAGGCCAGTAGAATAAGGTCTTCAATCTCTACCAGCACCCTCTTTGTCCAGAATGTCCTCCAATTGCAGAATCATGCAAAGTTTGGATCAACTTATCCCTTAATCCATTAGTCGATCCTACATAAAGTTTGCCACTGTACTTTAATAGTCCATTGTCCCATTCATATTGTGAATGAGCAGCTGGATCCAGTAATAATGAGGAAATGATATTCTGGCACTGAGGATCAGAATCATAACTCTCTTGAAGTTCTTGTATCCATAGTGGTTTAACAGTGGAGATGGCCAAGCAGGACCCTTGTTGAGCTGCTTGATCTGTATTTCTTGCATGTAGTCTAGACAGTGCATCAGTTACTTTATTTTCTGCTCCCTTTTTGTACTGAATCTCATAATCCAGGCCAAGCAATTTAGCCAACCATTTATGTTGCAATGCAGTGGTGAGTTTCTGATGTAGCAAGTACTTCAGGGGCTGATGATCTGTTTTAATAATGAAATGGTATCCTAGCAGGTAGTGTTTCCACTTGGTCATTGCCATCAACAGTGCCAGTAGCTCTTTCTCATAAGCTAATAGCCCCAAATTCCTAGTTGATAATGCCTTGCTTAGGACGGCTATAGGATGGCCTTCCTACATCAGCACTGCTCCAATTCCTCCTCCACTAGCATCAGTTTCAATAGTGAAGGTTTTTTGAAAATATGGTAGTCTAAGTACAAGAGCCTTGCACATGATGTGTTTCAGTGACTTCAAGGCCTTCTTTGCTCTACCATTCCAAACAAAATTATCCTTCTTGAGTAACTCTGTGAGTGGTTTGTAGATGATCCCATAGTGCTTGATGAACCTTCTGTAATATCCAGTCAGCCCCAAAAATCCCCTCAAATCTTTTATTGTCCTAGGAGTGGGCCAATTCATGATACTTTCAATCTTGGACTGGCCCATGGATACCTCATTTTCAGTTATGGTATGGCCAAGATAATCCACCTTTTGCTGTGCAAAGGAGCATTTGGATCTCTTTGTAAATAGCTTGTGCTTTCTCAGGACAGATAGCACTATTTTCAAGTGCTCTAAATTCAATTCCAATGTGGAGCTGTAAATCAAGATGTCGTCAAAGAATACCAAAACAAATTTCCTTAAGTATGGTTGAAATATCTGATTCATAAGAGACTGAAATGTTGCTGGTGCATTGGTTAATCTGAATGGCATCACCAGAAATTCATAGTGACCACAGTGAATCTGAAAAGTAGTCTTATGAGTATCCTTGGGCTTGATTCTGATCTGGTGGTAGCCAGAAGTAAGGTCCAATTTGGTTTTATACCTTGATCCTGTTAATTCATTGATCAGTTCATCTATATTTGGTATAGGATACCTGTCTTTAATAGTCATCTCATTCAAACGCTTGTAATCCACACAAAAACGCAATATGCCTTCTTTTTTCTTGACTAATAACACTAGTGAGGCAAAGGGGCTATTGCTATGGCTAATGATCCTATGCCGCATCATATCTTTTACCTGCTTTTCTATTTCACCTTTCTGGGAATGAAGATACCTGTAAGGTTTCATTTTGAAAGCTTGGGATCCAGGCTTTAACGGAATCTCATGGTCTATTTCCCTAGTGAGGGCAACTCAGTGGGAGTTTGAAATACATCACTAAATTCTTCAATGATGTGCTGAACCTCAGTAGGCATAACAAATTCTTCAGACAACTTACTCTGTCCCATCCTCAAAGCCAAGCACATCTGTTTCTTATAGTCAATGAAATTTCTCAGGTCATTACCCCTGATGAGATCTAAGTCACAATTTTCTGCTTGCCCCCTCAATTGCACTACTTCACCTTGATTATGCAGGAAGATAGTCAACTGATGGAAGTCAAAAGTAATGGGGCTGAAGTGAGTCATCCAATCTACTCCCAATATCATATCCCAACTACTTAAGTCCATCACTTTGAGATCAAAGCAGAACTTATGCTGGCTCATTTCCCATGACACTTTGGGACAGATGGCTTTACTGGTCACACAGGCCTCATTGCCTACAATCACAGAGAATGGTTCCACTAATCAATATGGTATGTCAAATGCAATCACCTTCTCACTACTGATATAACTGTCTAAACTCCCAGTGTCAACTAAAATGAGCATTTCCTCTCCATCCCACTTCCCTATCAGTGTTATTGTCTTTCTTTTCATAGCCTCTGACAATGCATGCAAGGACATTTCTATGATGTGTCCTGGATTCCCTGTGGACTCATCTTGCTCCCCCAATGCATCTTCAAACTCAGACTCTTCTTCTTCGTCAGTAACCAGAAGGTTTAGGTGACCAGATTTACACTGATGACCCTGTCCAAACTTCTCTCCACACTTGAAACAAAGACCATTATTCCTCCTGTGTTGTACCTCTTGTGCTGAGATCCTCATAGGTTCAGAACCCGAGGTAGACATTGTTTTGCCTTTGAATGAAGTATTCCTGAATGTACTAGTAGAAAGCACCCTGTAGTGAGAATTGTGGGTCTGGTGCTGAGAAGGACTCCTGGAAATCCCAAATCTGTCTTCAGGCACCATTTTCCCTCCTTCTTTGAAGGTCCTTGTTTGTAGCCTTAATGCCTCCTCCTGTAGTGCAGCCAAGTCAAAGGCTTCTGACAGGGTTGCAGGCTTAAGCATCATTATCATAGTTTTGATTTCATCCTTAAGTCCACTGATGAAGCTAGACACAAAATATTCCTCATCTAAATGCTGATTCCTAATCATCATAAGAGTTTTAAGTTCTTCAAACTTTTCTTGGTACTCCTCCACTTTGCTAGATTGCCTCAGTTTGTTAAATTCCTGATAGGTGCTGAATCTGTGCAATAATAATAAATAAAACCTAACTACCACTAAAAGCAGTCAATAATCAATTCTAAGTACTGGAGCAGGGACTCTAGGTGTGCAATGGGTTACTTGATTCACCCTGTTCCCGAAAAGTTTGCATAATCCAATATACCAGAATTAATTATTTGACTAAATTCACTAACTAGCAGACAGTGGCAAGTAGGATCGTCTCCTCAGGAACTGGAGAGAAATTGATTTCCTTTCAAGTCAAAACAAATAGAGGGGTTTTAGAATTAAAAGCTAACTAAATAATTTAACTGCAGAAAATAATTAATTAAAAGAAATAATTAAGAGAGCTCTAGCCAAGGGTACACTTCAGAAATGATTCAGGCACTGATCATCGATTCACAGGTAATTCCAACATTTATTAATAGATTAGTTATAGCTGTCATGCACGCGATAAACAACCAACCTTTCCTTAATTTCTCGATAGTTAAGGTACGACCGTTAACTATTTCTCTAACCCGGAAACAACCCTAGGTACGACCGTAGGATTCAATTTCTAGATTGCATTAATAATTAGAAAGACCCAATCCTAACTAACAAACACGCTACGAGGGTTTGTTTAAATTAGATCATATGTTCCCCTGACATAAACCCAATTACGCCAGTTGCCACTGAGATAGGGATAACGAGCAATTACGGATTCAATTACCCCTAATTAGCAAAATAGCCTATATGAATAATTAATTATTGCGCACTAATCAATCATCTACATGAGCTATAACGGTTAAAAGCAGGAAACATATGAATACCAATAAATGAAGGAAGCAATTAAAATAAATTAGATCTTACAGTAATTGTTGAACCAAATCTTCAGTTGTCCCCTTGACTAGAATTGAAAAGCTAGTTCTCCATTAATGGAGAACCAACCGTGCAAGAAAAATAATAGCCGACGGCATTCTTCTCCCTATTCGGAGGAAGAAAACCCGATGGAATCAGAACTATCCCGAACTACCAAGCCAAAGGGATAATTAAATGTTCCCTCCTATGGCCTTTGCGGCCCACATGATAGATACATAATAGGAGAAGAAAACTACTAAGACTCCCAAAACAAGTCTCCTCCAAAGCTTATGAGAGAATGTTTCTTTTGTTTCCTATCTTCGGTCAACCAAAGATGAAAAAGCCATCTCCCAAGGTCAACAATTGTGGCCTTTTTGTCTCCTAATTGCTTACAAAGCATATCAAAGCCAAACGAAATACATGTCAAACCAAGCAGACCTAATAGGAGCATAATACTTCCCTCCTAATCTTCCGTCAATAATCCACGTAGACTCCATTTTGAATTAGAAAACTCTTGAAAAATCACATCTTTTAATCTCCTGTTGCTCCACCTTCCTACAATTAGTACCAAATACCAAATATAAGTAGAATCAATCAATTAAAATAATATTTGGCTAAAATCTAGGGAAAAATAATTATAAGTTTAGCAACAAATTATGACCTATCAATTCCTCCATTACATCCCGTCCATTTCTATTATCAAATCTTTTGTATAGTAATTCCTGAAATGTTCTCCAAGCTATCCCTGGGTTTTCCAATTTAATTCCTTGGAACCAGTTATCTGCCTTCTCTTCCAAGTACATTTCTATGACTTCCACCTTTTGATCCTCAGGAATTTGGTAATTTAGGCAGTACGTATTGCATTTCCGGATCCACTCCCTCGAATTTTCACCAATAAACATAGGTAAATGGATTCTAGGAGGATTTGGTATCAAAATCTTACTTGTTTCCTTCCTTGCTGCTCTGCTGATTTCAGATCCCATCTGTAGCCTCTGATTTAATAGAGGAGTTGGTAAGAGTGGTGCCTGTTCCACTCTCGGTCTGTCTTCTTCTGGAATAGCTCTTTCCTTGCTTATCATTGCTCTTATGAAAGCATTGAACTCCTGCTTCATTTCAGCTACCAAGCCTTCCATTCTTTTGTTGTTTTCCTCGAGTTCAGTACGGAACTCATTCTGCATTTGTTGTTGTTGCAACTGCGAAGTTTGTAGACCTTCCATTACGTCTTGGAATTGGATTTCCTGCCTTTTGATTTGTTCCTCCAGAGTCTTGAATCTGGTGCTTTCCGTCATGGATTTTGGGTATAATCCAAGGATTCAGCTTGCTCTGATACCAATTGTCAAGCTGCTGACTCCATCTCTGACCTTAATTGATGAATTATTTGAGAGCCGGGGAAGAAAGTTGCAGAGGAGGGGAAGAACGGAAAATGGGGATTGGGGAAAGTGGAGAGAGAAAGTAAGAAAAGGAAATGAAATTCTGTTATTCTGTTCGATGCTTTCTTGGCCAATCACATGTGTACAAATAGAACAAGTAACCGACTCAATTAATTCTTGCAACTGAATCTGTTAATTCCTTCCTACGACGTTGTCCCACTAATTCCTGCCTCCAACGACGTCGTCACATTTATTCCTCCTACTATCAAACTTAATTTGGACAATCAAATGAAACGGCATTGTTACACTTTGGGAAAAAAATAGTTTCCTGACACTAGACTAGGGCTGATGCTGTACCGAGGCTCGAGCTCATTTTGACCGAGTCAAGCTCGAGCTTCAATAGTTTGCACTCGAAAACTCGACGAGCCTAATCGAGGTTTTTATAATATATATTTTAATTTTTATTCTTGTGAAATGTTAATAATATCATTTATTTAAAATTATATGTAAAATATTAATTTTTATTACATGAGCTTGATTTGGCTTGATTGAGCTCGAATAGGTTCGATTTAGCTTGATTTGAATTGATTAGATTTAATTAAACTCGAACTCAAGTTCAAACTCGAGTAACGTAAATTGACGTCGAGTTTGAGCTCGAGTTCGAATTCTAAAAGCTCGACGATCTCAAGTTTAGTTTACCTCGCGTTGCACTACTTGAGCTCGACTCGACTGGAACGCACCCCTAAGCTAGACAGCTTTGTTGTGTCTGAAATTATCAGGCGCCTGAAATTCGGTCGCGCTAAGACCTTCATGTTAAAGAAGCTTTGCTACGAGATTAAATAAGTTTGTAAATAGAGGGAAAAAAGATGAAAAATCTTATTCCAGGCAACATAAGACTTGTACGATAGACACAAATTAAATGATAGTCCATCTCCTTAATTTTAGAATTTCTGTATTTATATCTTCCACAACAAATTACAAAATTATATGACACAAACTAAAAAATTATGGAAGCCGCCTTGTCACTATTGACCGCATGAATATCAGGTTTGAATGCATAACAGTTGATCTTTATATAAGTTTGAAAATCAAGTTTTACACACATGACATCTATCTAAACTTGATATTGCATACATGGTTAGAATATTGAAATTAATCTTTATTTAAATACGTAACATGTTAATTCTTATTTGTTAATCTAATACATAAAAAGTTAATATTCTACCAAAAAATCTGTTATATACCACGTTAAAATGGAAGCAGCGCAGTAACAAGTAATTAATAATCAAATCACTTGTGCACATTCTATTGAAAAATATCATGTAATTATATATATATATATATATATATATATATATACCAAACTTTTTTAGTCACAAAATGCCCAATCAATTGTTGAATGCTTATAGTTTCCACACCACTTCAAAAGAAAATGCATTCAGTCTTTTAAAAGAGATTGGAACTAAAAAGCAATATAGAATACAAACGAAACATTAGTTGCAAGAAAGTGCAATTATTCTTTACTCCTATGTTGTTGTAAAAGACAAAAAACAAAACTAAAAACAGTGGCAAATACCATTGACTCTGTATCTCTTTTGTTCAGCAGTAAACATCCAAATCATTCGGAACAAATTTCAAGTCATTAGACAACTATATATATATATGTGTATATATATATATAATTGATTTCGCTGTTTCTTCCGTAGTCAAGAAAACATTATTGCTGGTTCCGAGGCAAAATTGGGTGACTTTGATAAGTAAAATAGTTGATTGCTTTTCAAAACTTAGCATCACATAACTGACCATAGAAAAGAAACAGTTCACTGCGTGTGAAAATGAAAATATATTCGGACGCCATGACGTCATTACTCAAGCCTGTGCTTTAGGACTCGTATTTGTATATTTTCAACTTCAACAATTATTTTAAACCACAGTGAAATTGAAGTGACAAACATTTAATAATTAAACCACAGTAAACCAGTGGACACGAAAAAATTCTGTTTAATAATACTACTTACGTGGGCTGACGATTCTCAACACATTTTTCCACTTTATAACATTTCTTTTTTCTTCTTCAAACGTCAAAAAATACAAAATATTTCACGTTTATGTGCTTAAAATATGAGCTTATATGGTGGGTAATCTTATATTTTTTTCATGCAATATTTATAGGAAAACATCTAAATATTGTAGCAGCTATTTATTTTTAATTTTGTAATTGGTATATGAATAAGAGTAAATCTTTCCTATACTGATGGTGTATACAGTATCATCGCTGGATTCATGACATGTGTGCAAAAGTTAATATATATATATATACACACATATACATATAGACACATACACACATGACTCTACGAAATTTCTCGTTCGCTAAAGCAAATAATATTACATACCGGAAGTCAAACATTGACATTTTGAACACACGCTAGCCATCATGACTAGTGACCAAATTTCCATTTACTTAATTTGTCAAGCTGAATACTTTAATTGTCTTCCCTTTTCTACCATTTCTACTGTTTAAAAATCATTTGCACACCCTTGATTAAATATAGTAGGTGAATTATTGATTAATATAGTAGGACACTATTAGGGAGGAAAGAATCAGCATAACACAACAATCAATTCACTATGAATCAAGTTTTTTGTTTCTTCTTTTTTTAATTCCGACAATGTCTTACATGTGTCTTATTATATAATGTGCTGTCCGGCCGGAGAATACCCCAAAAAGAATAGAAATTTATATTTGATTGTTAAAGGGTAAATATGCAATTTTAGTTAGTAAGGCAGCATCTTAGTGGATTCCCCAAAAAAAATTCCATTAACCAAGTGCTTAGTCCATTCAAGACTCAAGACCAAGAAAATAAACATCTCCCAGCTGGTCCATTCAAAACATCAAACCTTGGACTCAATTAATCAACATGATACAAGCAGATACTTTTCTACTAACCCATTCTACTGGCTACATTACCAAAACCGCATCCTTGCAACAAAAAGAGGGGCAAGAATTATTACCAAAAGCATTCATATCCGATGGTTAACTCTCAAAATTAGCTCAAATTCTAAAATTTAATTCACATTTTTATAGATAATTTTTTACACTATATACAAAATCTATAAACGAATTTTTTTAAAGAAAAAAAAAGATTTAAGAAGCAAGAAGGGGGTGAGAAGATTGTGCTGCTATTACTTTACATCTTGTACAACACATAGTAGTAAAACGTACGGTTGACAAACCTAATAGAAGCATTGTTACATCTGTCAGTTGTCGTACACGACCATTCGTATGTAGCCTCCAACCCTGTTGCAATAAATTCCATCCACGTGGTAATCTTAGGCATTTGAATGATTCCAAACTGCACAGCCAAGAGACCCTTCCAATCACCTCGTGGCATTCAAAATTTCGCATGTACAGCCCCTCAATTCTGATAAATTCAATCACGAATAGGACCACTTCAATTTTACATCTCCTTAGTCAACACGTAACCCGGTTTGGAAAATTGCGGCACATTCAACCCTCTTCGTTCAAAGTGTCAAACATGACTCCAAACCAACTCCAACCTCCCATACTATAAATATCCCCAACATCTCCACACTTCTGCAACAAATTAACATCCATAGCAAGAATAAACCAAGAATCAACCAATTCACCTACATTTTCAGGTAATAAATTTGTCCTTTTTTGTGGGTTTTAGTCGATTTTTGGGCTCAAGATGAATTGCAGAAAAGCAGCGATTCTTGTATTGGTATTTGTCATCTTTGTTGCCATTATCGGGCAAGTTCATGTGGAGGCAGCGAGGTTGCTGACGGAGGAAGACTTCGCCGGTGCCGATCACTTGGATAGATTTCCATCGGTATATGCAAAAGCAAGAGACACGATGTCATATTGGTTTGAAAGGTTGGCATCTGGACCTAGCCCTAAAGGACCTGGTAATTAAGCTTAAAAGTATGGCCAGCAAGTATTTAGGCAGCAGTTCGGCCATGCAAGGACAATGAGCAACCAACACTAGTATATTTTGGTAGTATTTACCATTTAGAGAGGGTCTAAGACTCAGTGTTTTTTTGGTTATTTCATTCTTTCTTTCTTTGATGTCATGTTACACGATGAAATCTTAATGCATAGATGTATATTTCTGACTTTTGCCCTTGAAGTGGCAGTTATAATGATAGATATTTTTTTTTCAATGCTTTCTTTCATTTCTTTTGCCCTTGATCAATGGTTCAAGCTTTCTACAATAGCAAGTCCATGGATAACTCAGGTGTTCCAGTTCATCATACGTAAAAAACATGAAAATTTTTTTCTGCACATTTCATTAGGCCTTCCTTAGTTTGCAGACACTTCAATCAACAAATTAGAAAATTTTCTGATGATGGATCATGAGTTGGCTGCATGAGACAGTGTAGTGCTGCTTTTATAGAAGTATTCCTTACAAAGCATGGATTATCATTTCCTATAAGATACACGGATTATCATATCCTACAACATGCTATCGAGGATGAAAACTTTTATCTACTCCATAAAGTTGTACTCTTTTAAGGGTTCTCTGTCTATAATAAGTACCTTTAAGACACTGGTGAAGTGGGATGAAATATTTACTATGATGGCTCTAAGACAAATTCTATCAATTTTTTTATGTGGATATCTATTTTTTCCATCTATTTTTATCTTATTAAATGTCCAAACTTTTATTTATTTTGTTTAGGTTTAAGTCTCCTACCTATTATTGTTACCACTTGTTATAGTAGCTTGATTATTGTTGTTAAGAAACAATCACATTTAATATTTTTGTCTCCATTTATTATTATTATTATTATTATTATTTTTGTTATGATCAACAAAAAGAGAA